CCCCAAAACCCCAAAACCCCAAAACCCCTGAGATTGAGATTAAACAAATAAAGGTGTAATAATACAGTAAATCGATAAATATCCATAATCATTTTTCATCATTTTCAGATTCTAAATTACCTGAAAGATACATAATTAACTTTGCAATAAGATCTCTCCACATAAATGCTTCTTCAGCTGTTTCACAAGCAAATATTAATCTTTATTGACTAATCTTCTATAAGTTTAATCTCTCACTCCATCGCTAGCTTTGATTTGGTTGAAAAAATAAGTCAATCTTTCCTTGTTCTATTTGCAAGTTTTTAGAGCCAACTAATAGTTCAAATAGTTTATCACTTTTAAATTAGCCAATATCGAAATCTAATCTAAAAGGTCAATAAAAGTATTAGAATTTACTGTGCTAATCCTTATAAATCTTCTAATTGAACTTGCCTTACTATTTAATCGCTATTGATGTTTTTAATCATAAATTCTTTTAAAGTGATCTATCCTTTGTATTAAATGAAATTCATTCCAATTCCAGCTGAGTATTTAAATAATGGCCCTTCGTAAACAACTAAAATTGAATAATCTTAAATATCCTACCTTGATCAGAATTGAGTAGTTATATACCAATAGAAATATGGTGGATAAATTTATCATTGAGCATCTTTATTCAACTTATCCTTTCTTTTTAAGCTCCTGGCATCTATCTTGTAAATAGAGGGGAAAAACTTCTTTTATCTCGGGACTATATCAAATTTTATATATCTTCTCGCTTTATTAATGGTCTTTTCATCATATTAATCTATAAATAAGTATTCCCTTGATTTTTTAATGGTGAGATGTATAAGTTTGGCATGCTACATTTTTTCTAAATTTTCTTAATCTGTTTTATATTTTTTTATGTAGATCTGGATGAAGTTGTAATTGGCTTTGTAGTAGGTTCGTTATTTATACAATATTTTTTCTAAAACATTATATCATCAAGTTCAGTTAACTCCAATTCTATCGCACCAATATTTTTTTCTATTTATTCTTCATCAAATGGGATTTGATCATCTTATTCTTCCTCAGTATTTCCAACTAAGTCGATATATGCTCGATGTGGCTCAATAATGTTCAGGTTTTGAAATTTACATTCATCATTAGAACTATAACTTTCAATATTTTATCAAAGCTTTTTTGAAATTTCACTATCATTTGAGACTTAATGCCGGTAGTACTCATAATCCTCTAAAATCTAAATTTAAAATTCAAAACGACTGTTAAACTACCATCAATACAGTCAGAAGTTGTTATCATATTTTCTTCATTAGGTTCCATTTTGAAATAAATTTTATTATAGATGATCCAGAAATGATTCCTCTACTGGGGTTTTGGGGTTTTGGGG